TCAACACCCAAAAAACCTAGTCCAGTGAGGAAATGGGCAGAAGACATGAATAGACAATTTCCCAAAGAAGACATCCAGATGGCCAACTGACACATGAAAAAATGCTCAACATCACCCATCATCAGGGAAATACAAATCAAAACCAAAATGAGATATCACCTCACACCCATCAGAATGGCTAAAATTAACAACTCAGGAAACAATAGGTGTTGGTGAGGATATGGAGAAAGGGGAACCCTTTTGCACTATTGGTGGGAATGCAAACTGGTGCAGCCACCCTGGAAAACAGAATGGAGGTTCCTCAAAAGATTAAAACTAGAACTACCCTACGACCCAGCAGTTGTACTATAGTTATTTATCCAAAGGATACAGGAGTGCTGGTTCAGAGGGAAACATGCACCCCAATGTTTATAGCAGCATTATCAACAATAGCCAAATTATGGAAAGAGCCCAAATGCCCATCAACTGATGAATGGATAAAGAAGATGTGGTGTGTATATATATACACAATGGAATACTACCAGGCGATGAAAAAGAATGAAGTCTTGCATTTGCAACAACGTGGATGGAGCTAGAGGGTATTCTACGCGAAATAAGAGAAAGACAAATATGATTTCACTCGTGGAATCTGAGAAACACAACAGATGAACATAGGAGAAGGGAAGGAAAAATAAGATAAAAACAGAAGGAGGCAAACCATAAGAGACTCTTAAATACAGAGAACAAACAGGATTGCTGGAGGAAGAGGGTTGGGGGATGGGTTAAATGGGTGATGGGCATTAAGGAGGGCATTTTTGGGGTGAGCATTGGGTGTCATATGTAAGAGATGAATCACTGACTTCTATTCCTGAAGGCAAGACTACACTGTATGTTAACTAACTTGAATTTAAATTTAAAAAAATCAATAAATAAATTTTTAAAATAATAATATGCTCCAATAGAAATCTGAGAAAAGAAGAATGAACAGTTAAATAAAAACCAGGGGAAAGTTTCATTCAGTACTGAAGATGGTGCCGAAACAAGCCATGGTCAGAGTTGTTACTAAGGGGGATAGAGCCAGATCTACAGTGATTTGGGAATGTACTAAATACAGGAGGTCCTCAACATTTCAAGTCAGCACAAGGGACTTCAAGCATCCATGTCTCCATTTCTCATTTAACAGAGTCACAAATACTTTAACACTGGAGTGTGAGAAGTTATTAAGCCAGTGAGAGAGCCCAGTTTCCACATTTCAATAAGCTATTACTATTCTTTGCTGATTCAATAAGTCTCATTAAGGCTGAGGAGTTTACTTAGTGTTTCCGTTAAATTTTAGTAAGTTTTATGGAGGACATACACAGATCACTCAATTTTCTAAGTTCTTGCTCCCTAGATGATTCTCCTTCCCTGTTCTAAGGCCCACCTACTGTCCATTTAAAGTTCAATGACTCCCATGAAACCTTCACTGACCACCCCAGGCCAGAATAAAAGTATCCATTGTTTTATTTCCTGACTACACCTTAGACAAATAAAAAATGGGTGTCAGAAGTACTCTGGAGAGATGCTCTGGCCAAAGGTGAATTCTGCTCTTATCCCTTTCTGGTAGCACACTGAATCTCTGAGATTCGTGGCATAGTTGGCTTTCCATAAGCCAGAGTTGGAAACTCTAAGACTTGTGGTCCACTCTTCTCTTTAAAAGACATTTCCTGTCTAAGGCAATAAGGTAGGACCTGGAGAAAATTGGATCCAGTTGAGCTTGTGAGGGAACCCCACTGGGAATTGGAAATAGAACTTCAGAAAATACATCACAAGTAGTGTAACCAAGGGACACAGAACAGCAGACCCAGGAACCTGAAGCCCAAGTGCAGGAAAGCAGAGAGCAAAGAGTAAGAGACAGACTTGGGACCACAGAGGTTTTAGCTCAGTAATGATCTACTCATTCCAGTTTTGCACCCTTGTTCCCTCACCACCATCTTCAACTGTCCTACCCAGATTATAGCTCTTTTCTTATCCAGTGTCTAGAACATCAAACTCCTTCCCTAAAACTTCCTAGTACACCCATTTCCTCCACACTGTGGATGCTTCTTGTGCACACAGGCTTGGAGCTCTTTGGACAGGATGGTCAAGAACTACTTAAGCAGCAGCACCTTTAGAATCTGCTCCTTAATGTGTATCTTGAACTACAGCCACTAACAGCAAAGTTCCTGGAGTTGACTCAGGGGCCCAGGCATTCATTTCCCACTAACATTACTACCTAGCACACTGGCAAAAGTTCTGGTCAATAGACTTACTCCATTGTTGCCAGGATTCTTGCACCCTAGTCTGGCCCCCTTCTTTTATTAATAGGGGTTAGTTGGCTTTTGGAGACTGTATCTTAGGGGTCAAGGTTACTAACCCCTTTAACTCCTTAGCCATCATGATCTTGAATGGATCTGTGGTTCAGAAATATTCTTCTGAATCTTTTGGGAGAATTCCTAATGCAGAGAAGACTTAACATTTCCCAGATACAATTGTCACATACCCTAGTTTTGTATAAGACTTCATTACAACACCACAAAACTGGCACATAACTGGTACTGAGCAGCTCGCAGCAACACTACACCGTCTGGGCATTCAGTTCTACCCAACACACTTCAAAGGGCCCTGTAGCGGTTTTATCTTGAAATGTCAGTACGTACAGTAAGTCCAGAAATCACGTCTCTTTAACGCGAGCACAGGGGTCTCCGGCTGTGCGGCACCGAGCGCGGCCACACGGTAGGGAACCCAGCGCGGAGCGGAGTCCCTCGCGTGCAGGCCACACCGGGCGGCTCGAGCAGGTCCCCACGCCGCGAGCAAGACGCACGACAGCGCTCCGCACGCTGAGGAAGCCCCTCAGCTTCCCCTCCGACGGCCGTCCTGCTGCTGAGCCAAGTGTCTGCCTGGGAGGTGTGTCAACGTTCACAGCACTCGGCTCGGAGAGCAGAGGACGCGGCCGGGGAGGCAGGCTCCCGGGAGGGCGAGGCGGCGGCGCTCGATCCCCTTAACACCGGGAGGGTCACGAAGCAAATTCCCACAGGCCCCAACCTCCCGGGCGGGCTGCCGGCTCCCCGCCCCTGCAAGTGCCAGAGGGCCGCGCCCCGCCTCCAGGATCCACTCCGTCACCTCCCGGCGCCCCGCCCCCTCATGCACCGGCACCTCACGTCCCGCCCCCTCGCGCCCCGACGCCCCGCCCCTCGCGCCCCGACGCCCCGCCCCTCACGTCCCGGCGCCCCGCCCCCTCACGTTCCGGCCCCGCAACATCCCGCCTCTCCTGCTCCCCGCCTCAGCGTCGGGAGTGGTCGCCGCCGCCGCAGGCGTGCGCGGACGGTCGGGGGCCGCCGGAAGCGACGCCGGCCGGGTGGGATTCGCGAGCGCACATCTGCCGGCGGCACGGCCGCCTTCCCCCGGCCCGGTTAAGACTCGCGTCCGGAGAGCGCCGTACCGCGACCGGGGACTCCCAGGTCGGCAAGGGGGGGGGGGGGGTAGGGAAGAGTCCCCCTGCCCGGCAGGGTCTGTGAGGACCACCCTGGCCTGAGGGGACCGCTGCGGTTGCTCGTGGACGCGGTGCCGGCGGGGCCGGGCGGCCGGGTGACGGGAAAGGTGTTTGCGGTCCGGCTGCTCAGCTCCCCGCGGGATCTTCCTCTTCGGAAGGTGTCAACTCCTAGAAGTCCCTGTGTCCTTTATTCTGAATGATCCCTACAACGGAGAACCCCCAAAATCCATCGTTAGGGCGGGGGAGGTGGGAAGGGTGTAAAGGATGCCCAGTGGGGCAGGTGTTCGGCAGGCGACAGACGGCCTCCTTGTGGGCCTGAGCCCTGTGCCCAGAGAGCGGGGCGGGGCTGCGCGGGGCGGGGCTCCCGAGAGGACCCGCTCACCGCCCGGACTGCGGCCCTCACCGAGGACTCACCGGGGGCCAGGCTCCGAGTTGCTGCCGGCCGTACGCGCTCCAAACCACCCTACCCACGTTGTCCTGTTGTTACCGGGCCGTGGTTGTGTAAGATGTTAACTAGGGGAAGCTGGGTGAAGGTGCAGGGACTTTTCTGTTCCATTTTGGGAAATTTTCTTTAAAAGTATTCCAAAATAATACGTTAAAAAAAAGGTAAGATATGTTTACAGAGGGCGAAATACAGGTTTAGAGAGATTAAGCCATACGCATAAGAGAACACGACAGGATTCAAGCCCAGGTCCTTCACCACTGCCCACCGTGCCCGTGAATTAGTCCACGTTCGCTTAAACGCACAGGCCCTGCCACCACGTGGAAAACAAACCATCTGCACCCACACAGCCTACTGCCTGCGTTAAGGTGATTTTACTATTCATTTGTCTTCACTAGATGTGACACTTTCATTCCACTGTCTTTATCAACATGACATTACTATTCCAGGAAATTCTTGCCCTATAAGATAAAGTCGCAAATAATAGTATTTACTTCAAGAAATGACCCCTCAAAAAATCCACTTAAATGAGTATCAGACTCTCAGCTTTCAATGGAAAAGATCCAGACTTTTTGAAACCCTCAACTCAAAACTTTCACCTTGTTGTATCCACCTCTAAACTGTCGTGTCATGATCCTTGCCCAATCTTTATCCTGCCTCAGGAGATGTGCCTTACACTCCCAAAACCTCATAAAAATCCTGACTTTGCCTTCCTCCCTGGGAGATTTACTAAGACTCTGCCAAGGTAGTGCTAGCACTCATAGCAATAAATTCAGTTTGGTATTACCAATTATTTTGGCGTTATTTTTGGAAAGCAGAGATCCAACAATATTCTCAGTGTTATCAAAAATGCTGTTTGACAAACATTCCTTATGTTTGGAAAAAGGTTTGAATTATTTTAAACATATTTTTTCAATTCTCTTTAATTTTGGGTGGAGCCTTCTTTCTCTTCTGAACAGAAACTTCAGACTTAGTGAGTCATGTATTTAATCAATGAGCGTGTGTGTGTGTGTGTGTGTGTGTGTGCATGTGTGTCTATCTTCTTAACAGTGGTTTTTGTAACCTCAGGAGTGTGTCCTGAAAGGTAACACACTTGTTGCCCGCCCCCGACCATCAGAGCTGGAATGGCTGGAGTACTCCTTCCACGGCCTCCTGAGGAGTCAGAGGGACTCTTCGGAGTAAACAACAAAAAATGGCCTGCCAAGGTTCAGGCGACTGGCCCACAGTGGAGCAGCCCAAACCACCAGGAGGTATTCCGCCAGCGCTTCCGACACTTCTGCTACAAGGAGACCCCTGGGCCCCGTGAGGCCTTGAGCCAGCTCTGGGTGTTCTGCTGTGAGTGGTTAAGGCCTGAGATACGCACCAAGGAGCAGATGTTGGACTTGGTGGTGCTGGAGCAGTTCCTGACCATCCTGCCCGAGGAGCTCCAGGCCTGGGTGCGGGAGCATCACCCGGAGAGCGGGGAGCAGGCCGTGGCTGTGCTGGAGGATCTGGAGAAGGAGCTGGATGAACCAGGCCAGCAGGTAGAAAAAGGGCCTGTGCTCAGTGCGGGGATGGTTGGGTGCGGGCATCAGGCTGATCCTTTGTGGGCTCTTGGGATCATGTACACTGTGGGCCCTTCAGATGCCCAGACGAGCCTGCTTGTTCTCAGGTTTCAACCCAGACCTGTGCACAGGAAGTGCTTTCTGAGACATCGGTGCCCCTGGATCCAGCTAAGGAAGCAACATATCTCCAGCTTCAACCCATGGAGATCCAGCTTAAGGGTGAATCTCAGGACCCTCAACACCAACAGGACTGTGGTTAGTGTTGACACTTGGGGCATATGGCTCCCCTGGAGACCTTAGAATCATTCATCATTCAATAAATACATGTCGAATACTTATTACGTGCTGGGCACCATGCAAGGCGGTAGGTATAGTGAACAAAGCAGACGTGATTCTGGCTTTCACGGATCTTACAATAGTCTGGTGACAGAGGCATTAAATAAACACACAAATGAATGTACCATAACAGACTGCATATGGGGGAAGAAGGTAGATAAAGCCTTTTTGAGGAAGTAATATGGGAGCTAAATCCTAAAAGTAGAAACTAGCCATAGACGGAAAAGCAAGGCAGGCCTAACAGCATGTGCAAAACCAAGTGGGAAAGAAATGGGTTTGAAAGAAGGCCAGAGTGACTGGAACATGAAGAGACAGAAGAGCAGAGAGAAGGCCGTCAGGGGCCAGAACACAGGGCTGTGTGGGACCAGGTAAGGAGTCCATACATCTTTAACTTTACTGTGTGTAAGACCCACCTCTGGGTCCTGCGAGAATCCCAGCCCTAGGAAATGCTCAGTGAAGGTGAGCGATGAAGTCCAAGCAGAGGGATAACACAGGATCAGAGATCCGCTCCTTGGCTGAGAGGAGCAGTGCCAACAAGGTGGTCAGAACAAAGTGAGAGCCTGAGAAATTGTGTATTCCTCGCCCGCTTGCTCTCTTTTTTGGTTTTTGATTAGGAACTAACTGGTGCTGCGTAAGCTGGACAGTAGCCAGATTGGAGAAGGAGAAGAAAGACCACTTTGAAGACTTGCTGTAGCTTAAGTCAACATTGTGAGGGCCAAAAGTAGGACAGTTTTGAATGGTGATGGAAGGAAGGGAGGGATGAAGAGAGGCCACTTGTCCTAAAGCCCTGGGAGGTGCTGGAAAGACAATAGAGTTGCTCTCAGTCCTCTCCTGGCTGGAACAAGGAATCCAGGGTTCAGAGTTGGAGCATTCGTACATCTGATGGGTGGAAGTGACGCCCGCTCTTCCCAAGGGAAAATGGAGTGTCATTGTTAGAAACAGTGTCTACACAACATGAGTTACGCTTTCTCTGTTGTTGTCTTCTTTGTTATGCTGAGGGAAGACTTTTAAAGGATGCAGGGTACTTCTTACATATAGGTAGGAGTGTATGAAATTCATGTTTTCCAAATTAAGGTGTTTGGCATAGGGTTTTCCTAAAGAACTGAAGCTTGCTGTGTGAAGGTCAAAACTTTATTGTATTAGCCAGTTAATGGGCATCTTACCCATATGTGTAACAAATTCTTGTAAACTGAACAGAGCCTGTCCTTTTCTTGAAGATATAAGCTGATCATTATGATTAATGATTCAGGCCTGCAGATCACTGCTGCTCTTGGAGACTTTTGGGTAGGAGGGGCCAGCAGCTTATATCCTAAAATGACACCAGACTATCATGCCAGTAAATGGCAGATGTGTGATTTAAATATAGTCTGTCTCCAGGACCCGTGTTCTTAATTCCTGAGTACTGTTGGGGTATAAAAATGAGGAAGATGGAAAGTTATAGGAAATGAAACTGAAAAGGTAGGCAGAGACATTTTTAACCTTCACTATGCATCTGGATGACTTTAAAAATATATAAGTGCCTGGGCCCCACCCTCAGAAATTGGCTTTCAGTTGGACTGCGGTGAGGCCCGAGCATGGACTTTTTTTTTTTTTCCAACCCTCCAGGTGATTTGCATGTGTAGCCAGCTAAAGTCAAGAACCCAGTGGATCACGAAGGGCTGATACACTCAACAGATGAGTTTAGGTTTTATTCTGTGGGGAAATTAAAGTTCGATATTCAGAAGTTTTAAGTCCTTGGGCAGTTTCAAAATTTGGTAATTTAAACTCTAAGTGTGGTACGTACAATCTACAAATGGCATGTGAAGTCAGAATAATTTTTTTTTTCAACGTTTATTTTTGGGACAGAGAGAGACAGAGCATGAGCGGGCGAGGGGCAGAGAGAGAGGGAGACACAGAATCGGAAACAGGCTCCAGGCTCTGAGCCATCAGCCCAGAGCCCCACACGGGTCTCGAACTCCCGGACCGCGAGATCGTGACCTGGCTGAAGTCGGACGCTTAACCGACTGCGCCACCCAGGCGCCCCAGAATAATTTTTAAAACAATACAAAACTGCACACTTCAGTACAGCCACTGTAGATGTTGGGATAGTGTGGGCCATCTGATCACACAGCTCCTGGAAAGTAAATGGCTGTAGTCACCTGAATTCTAAGTTCTGCTAAGGAGCACAGTTTCTTGAATAAACCATGTCTTTAAGTTTCTGTAAAGAAGTCTGATAGCAACAAAGTCAGTATGGGTGTACATCCCTTAGACCACTTTGGAAAACCTCCCACGGGATTAATTAAACATTGAGAGCACGTGACTTGTTTTTAGTGTTTGTTTATTGATTTTGAGAGAAAGAGAGAGCGTGGGGGAGGGGCAGAGAGTGAGAGAATCTCCAGCAGGCTCCACACTGTCAGTGCCGACCCTGACATAGGGCTTGAACTCATGAACTGTGAGATCATGACCTGAGCCGAAATGAAGTCGGACATTTAACCGACTGAGCCACCCAGGCACCCCAAAACCAGTGTCGTTTTAAAATGTGAAATCAGGGGCACCTGGGTGGCTCAGTCGGTTAAACGGCCCAATCTTGATTTCGACTCGGGTCATCATCTCACTGTTGCTGAGTTCCAGCCCCACATCAAGCCTGCTTGGGAATCTGCCTCCCTCCCTCTCTGCCCCTCCCGCCACTCACCCTCTATCTCCAAAATAAACAAAAGTCAACTTTAAAAATAAAATGCAAAATCAGTTTTTTTCATAGGAAGTTTATGAGATTTCCTGACATATCAGCTATCGAGGCAACATTCCCTCGTATACCTTTCCTGTGGGTTCGGTCTTCCTGAAGTTCGTTCTTGAATAACTACTTCAGGCGCTTTGTGTGTAGGCTTAGTCTTTGCTTATCTGAAAACACCCTAATTTGGCCCTCCCTTTCTAATCCCAGTTTAGCTAGAGTAAAATTCAGAACGACAGGTTTTTTCCTCAGGTCTTGAAGGTACTGCTGGTCCTGCCGCTTCTAGCAGCTACTCTTCTAACTGCTGTAATTTGCTAGTGAAAGGCTTCTGTCAGTCTGAATGCTTTTGTAACATTTTTAGGAATTCCATCTTTTTTTTTTTTTTTAATTTCTTTTTTTTTTCTACGTTTTTTAATTTATTTTTGGGACAGAGAGAGACAAAGCACGAACAGGGGAGGGGCAGAGAGAGAGGGAGACACAGAATCGGAAACAGGCTCCAGGCTCCGAGCCATCAGCCCAGAGCCCGACGCGGGGCTCGAACTCCCGGACCGCGAGATCGTGACCTGGCTGAAGTCGGACGCTTAACCGACTGCGCCACCCAGGCGCCCCGACCATCTTTTCTTATTAGTAGTGTTTACATTTACTCTTAACCTGTATAAGATGAAGTGTCACTAAAAAGTGTGTCCTGTTAGGGTTTTATTTTTACTCATCTTCCTTTGTCCATAAATGCCCTGTTGCTCTAAGGACCCTTGTTTTTCTTCAGTTCTGGAAAATTCTCCGCTATCAGTTCTTTAAATAATGTGGGTTTTTGTTTTTGTTTTATTCCTTACGTATTTTCTTCTGGAACTCCCAGAACACACTGGTTAGGACCTATTTATCATCTGTTCATTTTGCTTAACTGCTGTTTCACATATATTATGTCTTTGTCTCTGTGGTACATCCCAGGGGAGTGCTGTTATGTTCCAGTTTATTCTCTCGGACTCTGGTTTATCCACTTTTAAAATCTCTATCCAGTTTTTATACTGTCTACTCTTGTTCTATTTTTGCTGATTTTATTTCCTAACTCTGTGTTTATGTGATGTGGATACTATGACATCAGTTATCTGTTTTAGGGATCTTTAATCTTTTCAGGATTTTTGATGAGAATAATTTCATCTGGGTTGAATTCATGTTCCAAGTGATGACTTTGTTAATCATCTTTCCTAGCATTCCATTCACGTTTTGAAATTTTCATGTCTGGGTCCATTTTGAGTTCCTTCCGATCTGCTTCACGCTCTCCCCTTCCTTAGCAATTCTCTCATTACCTGTGCCCCACTCCCACCCCAGAACCGGGGCTCCAGTGTCATGCGGGGAAACACAGACCATCAGTGTCATCACAGGTGTCCCCATGCCGTGCTGTCCACGTGCTTGTGTGTGTGTCTGTGTCCCACCCAGACTCTGGCATGAGCTGTGAGCTAGAACCTGGCCCATGGCTTCAATTGTAGCTACCATTCTGTGGTTTTGTTCCCTTTCTGGTCCACAGAGATGTTTGTCTTGTCTTTTTAGCACAGACTTGTTTTAGAGTAATTTTTATTTTTATCACTCCATGTATGTGAAGCTGAAGTGTGAAGTCGCTGTGTTGTCCTGACTAAAAAGCACACCATTTTCCCCAACCTTTTTTAGTGGGTTAGAAATTATGTTTCTGTACTATGCTTTTTCTTTTCCTTCTTTTTTTGTTTTGGCGTTTATTGTTTTTTGAGAGACAGAAAGAGAACGTAAGCAGGGGTGGGGCAGAGAGAGAGGGAGACACAGAATCCAAAGCAGGTTCCAGGCTCTGAGCTGTCAGCACAGAGCCCGATTCAGGACTCAAACTCATGAACTGTGAGATCATGACCTGAGCCGAAATTAGATGCTTAACCGACTGAGCCACTCAGGTGCCCCACCTATGCTATGCTTTTTAATAATAATCCGTAAGTTTTCTTCTCATGCTGATATGAATTTTAGTTCTATTATATGTGCAGTGATGTTTTAGATCTCATCTAGAGTACATTTTATATTTGCTTATGGCTTTAAAAGACCATGTTCTTGCATAAATGTGTACTTTGTGTAATTTTCCTTTGAATTCTGCACACAGATGTATCTAAGGTAGATGTAACATAAGGTTTTAAAGTGCCCCAAAACTTTACGATAACCACATATAACCAGTGACATGAGATTTTTGTTTTGTCACCCGTGTGGCAGGGTGGTCTGGTGAGTAATGATCGCAGGCCCTGGTCCTAACAGGAGGCCCGGGAAAAGGCTCCTATCACTCTGGGCAGCTTGCTTCTCTGCTCCACCTCATCTCTGGGTTTTTGCCCTTCATACGTGGATGCCCTGACCCCCATGACGGCTGTCACCCTCCTCAGCAGGGGGCCAGTGAGAGATCTCACATCTACTGTTAGACCTTGGCTCCTTCCCACCCTGCTCCCAGAGTCTCCTTAGCTGACCAATTTGGGCACATTTGGCCAGTGCCTCTGCCTAGGGTTAGGTCTGCCCTTCACTCTGGGTCCTAAAATGGGGTTACTTTCACAGAGAATCTGCCTTGAGTGGGACAGTCTCACTGTTTTCCAGAAACTGTCAACCACTGAGGAAGTGGCCACATCTCCCACCCTGGAGGAGTGTGGTCATTGGGATGCTGCTCGAGGCACGTCTGTAGGAGACACAGGCAGGGCAGTTATGGGAGCATGCCTTCCCTGGGTCAGGACGGTGGGAGAGTCTAGGTCTGTTAAAAGACCCTTCTCTGTGGTGGTGACTATTTACCTGGGGCATCTCAAATGACCCACAGAGCAGAGCTTCAGGTTTGACAGACTCCCAGGTTTTTGGGTTTTCTTTTTGTTTTGTTTTTTTTCATTTAACTTCATTTTTATTTTTTTTAAATTTACATCCAAATTAGTTAGTATATAGTGAAGCAATGATTTCAGTAGGTTCCTTAATGCCCCTTACCCATTTAGCCCATCCCCCCTCCCACAACCCCTCCAGCAACCCTCAGTTTGTTCTCCATATTTATGAGTCTCTTTTGTCCCCCTCCCTGTTTTTATATTATTTTTATTTCCCTTCCCTTATGTTCATCTGATTTGTCTCTTAAAGTCCTCATATGAGTGAAGTCATACGATTTTTGTCTTTCTCTGACTGACTAATTTCACTTAGCATAATACCCTCCAGTTCTATCCACGTAGTCGCAAATGGCAAGATTTCATTCTTTTTGATTGCCGAGTAATACTCCATTGTATATACATACCACATTTTCTTTATCCATTCATCCATCGAAGGACATTTGGGCTCTTTCCATACTTTGGCTATTGTTGATAGTGCTGCTGTAAACATTGGAATGTATGTGTCCGTTCGAAACAGCACACCTGTATCCCTTGGATAAATACCTGGTAGTGCAATTGCTGGGTCTTAGGGTAGTTCTATTTTTAATATTTTGAGTAACCTCTATACTGTTTTCCAGAGTGGCTGCACCAGTTTGCAATCCGATCAACAGTGCAAAAGATATTCTTTCTCCACATCCTCGCCAACATCTGTTGTTGCCTGAGTTGTTAATGTTTGCCATTGTGACAGGTGTAAGGTGGTATCTCATTGTGGTTTTGATTGTATTTCCCTGATGATGAGTGATGTTGAGCATTTTTTCATGTGTCGGTTGGCCATCTGGATGTCTTCTTTGGAAAAGCGGCTATTCATGTCTTTTGCCCTTTTCTTCACTGGATTATTTGTTTTTTGGGTGCTCAGTTTGATAAATTCTTTGTAGATTTTGGATACTAACCCTTTAGCTGATATGCCTTTTGCAAATATCTTCTCCCATTCTGTCGGTGGCCTTTTAGTTTTGCTGATTGTTTCCTTTGCTGTGCAGAAGCTTTTTATTTTGATGAGGTCCCAATAGTTCATTTTTGCTTTTGTTTCCCTTGCCTCTGGAGACATGTTGAGTAAGAATTTGCTGTGGGCAAGATCCAAGAGGTTTTTGCCTGCTTTCTCCTCGAGGATTTTGATGGCTTCCTGTCTTTCATTGAGGTCTTTCATCCACTTTGAGTTTATTTTTGTGTATGGTGTAAGAAAGTGGTCCAGGTTCATTCTTCTGCATGTCACTGCCCAGTTTTCCCAGCACCACTTGCTGAAGAGACTGTCTTTATTCCATTGGATAGTCTTTCCTGCTTTGTCAAAGATTAGTTGCCCATAGGTTTGTGGGTCCATTTCTGGGTTCTCTATTCTATTCCACTGATCTGAGTGTCTGTTCTTGTGCCAGTACCATACTGTCTTGATGATTACAGCTTTGTAGTAGAGCTTGAAGTCTGGGATTATGATGCTTCCTGCTTTGGTTTTCTTTTTCAAGATCGCTTTGGCTATTCGGGGTCTTTTCTGGTTCCATACAAATGTTAGGATTATTTGTTCTAGCTCTGTGAAGAATGCTGGTGTTACTTTGATAGGGATCGCATTGAATATGTAGATTGCTTTGGGTAGTGTCGACATTTTAACAATATTTTTTCTTCCTATCCAGGAGCATGGAATCTTTTTCCATTTCCTTGTGTCTTCTTCAATTTCTTTCATCAGCTTTCTATAGTTTTCAGTGTATAGATTTTTCACCTCTTTGGTTAGATTTATTCTTAGGTATTTTATGATTTTGGGTGCAACTGTAAATGGGATCAATTCCTTGATTTCTCTTTCTGTCACTTCATTGTTGATGTATAGGAATGCAACCGATTTCTGTGCATTGAGTTTATATCCTGCAACTTTGCTGAATTCATGAATCAGCTCTTGCAGTTTTTTGGTGGAATCTTTTGGGTTTTCCATATAGAGTATCATTTCATCTGCGAAGAGTGAAAGTTTGTCCTCCTCCTGGCCGATTTGGATGCATTTTATTTCTTTGTGTTGTCTGATTGCAGAGGCGAAGACTCCCAATACTATGTTGAATAACAGTGGCAAGAATGGACATCCCTGTCTTGTTCCTGACCTTAGGGGAGAGCTCTCAGTTTTTCCCATTTGGATGATATTAACGTTGGGTCCTTCATATATGGTTTTTATGATCTCGAGGTATGATCCTTCTATCCCTACTTTCTTGAGGGTTTTTATCCAGAAAGGATGCTGTATTTTGTCAAATGCTTTCTCTGCATGTATTGAGAGGATCATATGGTTCTTGTCATTTCTTTTATTGATGTGACGAGTCACGTTAATTGTTTTGAGGATATTGAACCAGCCCTGCATCCCAGGTATAAATCCCGCTTGGTCACGGTGAATACTTTTTTTAATGTATTGTTGGATCCGGTTGGCTATTATCTTTTGAGGATTTTTGCATCCATGTTCATCAGGGCAGACTCCCAGGTTTCTCTTTGCAAGAAGAGTAGTCATGTCTTTGGGGCCGCATCAGTTTCTGTCTGTCCCCACATGATAATATCCTATTGTGCCCCATATGTCCAGACATGCTTGTTCTGCGTATTTGGAAATAGGATACTTTTCTGTGCTCTGACCCCTCATTTTTCAGTACTCCAGGGGCCTTCAGGGCCCCCTGCATGGAGCTGCTTCTCAGCTCCACATCAGCACCGGCCCCCTGGCAGCTTCCCTCCTCTCACAGCCCTGTGCCTTCGTCCATCTCAACCCCACTTTGGCCTTCCCTCGGAACCCCCTGTCCTCTCAGATCCTCTCCTGTTGTTGACTTACGCCCCACTGACCATCTCCGTCTGCACAAGCCATGCCTGGCCAGTGCAGCCACTGCTGGTCCCTCTTCCTTTGCCTTCCCCCACTGTCTTCCTCACATGGTGTGGAACAATTGTGTTGGTAGAATTAAGCTGTGTACTTGTAGTAGATGTGTTTAATTTTACTTCCTGTATGTTTCAGTGATGTTTGAAATCTCTCCTTTTGTTTCAGATGACGTAATCGGAATTGAGAAAGGAGAATCGATTCAAAAGCAGGAGGTTACCATAGATACAGAGTCTCCAAAAAAGTCACCTGGCCAAATCAACGGAAAAGTCCCTCATCGTGAAGAAACCCAAGAACATGAAGGACAGACAAAGAGATATCAGAGAAATTCTTCAACCGAGAGAAGATATAAGTGTGACGAGTGTGGGAGAAGATTCACTCAAAACTCAAGCCTCATTAGACATAAGAGAATCCACACTGGAGACAGACCCTATTCATGTAACGTGTGTGGCAAAACTTTCATCCAGAGTTCCCAACTTATTGACCATCAGAGAATACATAACCGATTAAAACCGTATCAGTGTGATGAGTGTGGAAAAGCCTTTTATTACAGTTCACACCTTGTTCAGCATCAAAGGACCCACACTGGAGAAAAACCTTTCCAGTGCAGTGAGTGTGGGAAAGCCTTTCACTACAGCTCCGGCCTCGTTCGGCACCAGAGGACCCACACGGGAGAGAAGCCCTACCAGTGTCACGTCTGTGGAAAGGCTTTCTGTCTGAGCTCGCACCTGATTCAGCACCAGCGCGTGCACACTGGGGAGAAGCCGTACCAGTGCAGCGAGTGTGGGAAAAGCTTCAGCCAGAGCTCAGGCCTCTTCCATCACCACAGGATCCACAGTGGGGAGAAGCCGTATGAATGTGATGAGTGTGGAAAGGCCTTCAGTCACAGCTCAGCCCTGGTTGGGCACCAGCGAATCCACAGTGGAGAGAGGCCCTATGAGTGTGACGTGTGCGGGAAGGCGTTCAGTTATAGCTCCCATCTTCTGGGACATCGAAGGATCCACACTGGGGAGAAGCCCTATGAGTGTGACGTGTGCGGGAAAGCTTTCCGGCGGAGCTCGCACCTCCTGGTACATCAGCGAATCCACATTGTAGAGAAGCCCTGGTGATGTCAGCAATGGTGCAGAATTATCCATCCGCGCTTTCCTGCAGAACGCCAGATAGGGACGTCCCCGTGATGGAGAAGTAGGGAATTCTGTGATCACCATTGCGGTTTCCGCTGTCATTTGAAAATACTTCTGGAGGCTGAAAGAGGCAATCACCTGACAGCTTGCCAAACAAGCATGTCGTCTGATGACCTGGGACCTTGGAGGGGCTCGTTCCACATCCTCAGACTTTCCTCCTCGAAGCAGGGGCTCAGGAGATCTCTATAATCCGTTAGATACGTCCCCAGGGTGGTAGAGATGCTGCTATTCCCTCCCCCGCCTCCTTTCCTCCCTATTTTCTTTGGAGTTGGAGTGATGATCTTGTCTGAAGTGTGAGTTGAGAGTTACTTGATTTACATTTTTAAAAATCCTGAATTTTTGGTTAGCTTGATAAAAGACCTCAGCCTATCGGTTGTCTACACTAAAAACATAAATACAAAAACCACTTTGTAATTTGGGATAAACGTTTGGGTGGGTAGGAAGGTTCCATGGGATGGAGCAGGAGGGTTGATCACACACATCCGGTGACCTTTCATATCTTCCACCAGAGATGTCAAACAGGCCAGGGCGCTGTATTTGGCCTGCATGTGCGTTTTTCCCACATAGTATGTTTTGTGATAACATGAAATTATTTCAACTTTTAAAAATCTGGAGATTTCACATCGAATCTGACTTTCCACATTCTCTTACAAAAACGCATGATGTGGCAATACTAGATGCCACCTTCCCACGAGCCAGGAGTTGACTGGAGCAGATTATCACCCACTGCGGATGGACACAGTCCACTACCACACAGCGACCTGTGCTCCCTGACCACCCCCTGCTCCCCCTACCTGTGTGAGCCCTGCCCTGCTCTCCGGGCTTCTCAGGACCACCTTGCCACCAAAACACTGCACTTTAGCTTTAGGCGCTGGCCCCCAAGAAGATTTTCTCTGAAGAAAAGGCTTTCTGCTAACAAAAGCTTGGAGATTTACTATGAAAGATTTAAGGAGCACCTGGGTGGCTTAGGCAGTTAGACATCTGACTCCTGATCTCCGCTCAGGTCTTGATCTCAGGGTAGGGAGTTCAAGCCCCTTCTTGGGCACTGCGCTGGGCATGAAGCTTACTTAAATAAATTTAAAAATGTATACTTGAGCACCTGAAGGTAGAGGAAAGCCACGGTAAAATTTTCCTTAGAATGTACAGGTACTTCTTGAAAGTCAACTGTGATGGCTTCTAGCCAGACCTGTGGAGACTAGTTCTTCCTGTGAGATGAAAACAGCATGCTGATGGGAGTCAACACTAATGTTGGAGTGAACAGGCTCAGGGCCCAAAGCAGAGGTGCAGCTGAGGGAGAGAAGCTCAAGATCTGAAGCCACGGGGACGGCAAGGCCGTGGAATGAGGCCCAAATGGGAGAGTGGGGAGAGGATGAGGCCCAAATGGGAGAGTGGGAAGAAAAAGCTACGAATAAGGGAGGGTCAGGGATGAACAGGGAAAGAGAAAGGTCAGAGACACAAGAAAAACCAACCGCAAACAGGAAGTGGAAGCAAAGGCAGTGAAAACGTGGAAGACCTGGAGGCTGAAGCCCTCAGTATTAATCCACCCTTCATTTGTATGCCTTGGAGGTCAAATCCCTGATAATGAAAGACCCGTACCCAATCTCAGCTCACTGTGGTTTGTACCGCGACCCGGGCCCTGTGTGGGCCTCTGGGTGATGGGACACAGGACACCTGTGTCCTATGGAAAAGCCATGTTCTACAGCTTCTTAGCAAAGCCAGCCAAGCAGAAGGACTCTCCCCAGGAGAAGGAAGACATTCTTGGCCTCTCTGGGAAGCGGGTGATTTGCCCATTCCTCCTAAAAAGGAAAAAGTGCGTTGTGAGATAGCAGTACCCATTTTATACTAAATAAATGATGTGGCAAAATGAAAAGTCCTTTGCAAACTGTGACAATCATGGCTGTTATTTGTTGGAACACCAGTTGTGTCCAGCATCTTGTATCTCATGTCAGCATCCCAACTCTTCTGTAAGGTACAATTTATTATCTTAAACAGTATGTAGATAGGATTTATTCTTACGAAGGGCTTATAATAAAATGAAAAGTTTTTATTATGTTTAAATGTTAAACAGCCTATACAAGTATTTTTAAAATATAATATGTAAAACAGTCTTAAAATATTAAAAATTGGAAATAACAAAATATCAACAGTGTATTTAGGTCATGAAAAGGAAGTGATTCTCACCTTTCTACTCTGTATATTCCAGATGAAAACATTAGAATTCATCATACACATGTGGTAAATACTTTTTAAAAATTAAAATATTACAGAATTCAGCCTTTCTGGAGATGATTCTTTGGTAGCTTTTTCAATCATTTCCTTTAGGATTGGTTTATTTAGGTTTTTCTACTTTTTTTTTTTTTTAAGTAATCCCTACACCCACCGTGGGGCTCAAAACTGCATCGCTGAGATCAAGAGTCATATGCTCCACTGACTGAGCCAACAAGGTGCTCCTAGATTTTTCCACTACTTTTTTTTTTTAAGTTTATTTATTTTGAGAGAGAGAGAGAGAGACTGAGAATGCCAAGCAGGCTCCACACTGTCAGCACAGAGCCTGATTCAGGGCTTGAACTCAAGAACTGTGAGATCATGACCTGAGTCGAAATCAAGAGTCGGATGCTTAACTAGCAGCTACCCAGGCACCCTGATTTTTCTTCTTGAATAAATTTTGGAACTAAAAGTTCTTTCCCAGAAAATCCCCATCATTAAGATTTTTAAAATTTTGATAGCATACTTTCTTCTTCATCTGCTATTTGTCATTTACAATTTTTTTTTTAATTTTTTTTCACGTTTTATTTATTTTTGGGACAGAGAGAGACAGAGCATGAACGGGGGAGGAGCAGAGAGAGAGGGAGACACAGAATCGGAAACAGGCTCCAGGCTCTGAGCCATCAGCCCAGAGCCCGACGCGGGGCTCGAACTCACGGACCGCGAGATCGCGACCTGGCTGAAGTCGGACGCTTAACCGACTGCGCCACCCAGGCGCCCCAAGTCATTTACAATTTTTAAATTTTTTTTGTCTCAATTGGATTTACTATAGGTTTTTTGTTTTTAATGGGCTTACTTAAAAATAGTTAATTTTTGGATCTATTAATGTCACTTTTTCTATTTTCTAATTCTTTTTATTTTTCTAAACTTTTACTTGGGGGTTTCTTTTTCTAATTCCTTGAATGCTCAGTGATGTGAGGAACAAAGGCAAAGAGGAAACGTAGATAAAATTAAATTTCCTTATAGCCTGCAGCCATTGACAAATAGTTGAGGCAGGCAGGGTGTAACGTTTCTCCAGGAACTCCCTACTGTTTCAATGTTAATGCCTCTCACTAGAGGGAAAAACTTGACCTGCTGGATCCTTTGAGTCTTCTTTAATATATGAAAATCCCTTTGGAAACTTCCTTTGTCTTTACCTCCCCGAACTCCCAAGTAGATAATCAGTCTGTCTTCACAATCCCCGTGTGGCTCTTCCTGCCCACAGGTCCAGTCTCGGTGCTATAATAAAACCACCTGTTTGTGCAGAAGATGTCTCAAGAATTCTTTCTTTACCACATCATTTTGTTCATTTATTTTCTCCCTTTTTAAATAATGAAAACAAGTGAAAATATACACCCATAAAATACTGTTATTTTGAAATAGTGTACTTGTGGGGCACCTGGGTGGCTCAGTTGTTAAGCATCCAACTTTGTCTCAGCTCATGATCTCACCGTACGTGGGTTCGAGCCCTGCATTGGGCTCTCTCCCGTCAGCTCAGAGCCAGCTTCGGATCCTCTGTCTCCCTGCCCCTCCCTGCTCGCTTTCTCTGTTTCTCTCAAAACTAAATAAAAACATTTAATTAAATAATAAATAAAATATTTTTTAAAAAACCATCTACTGGGGCGCCTGGGTGGCGCAGTCGGTTAAGCGTCCGACTTCAGCCAGGTCACGATCTCGCGGTCCGTGAGTTCGAGCCCCGCGTCAGGCTCTGGGCTGATGGCTCGGAGCCTGGAGCCTGTTTCCGATTCTGTGTCTCCCTCTCTCTCTGCCCCTCCCCCGTTCATGCTCTGTCTCTCTCTGTCCCAAAAATAAATAAACGTTGAAAAAAAAAATTTTTTAAATAAAAAAAAAATAAAAAACCATCTACTAGTGTTTTTGTGAGGTGTTTTTTTTTTTCGGGGGACGGGGGAGGTGCGGTGGTAAATTTGGAAGATAGAAGTTTAAAAAAAAAAAAAGTTCAGGACCTGAAGCAGGGTTTGTGTTTGGAACCCAGTGAGAGAATTTGATACATTAGATAAGGAGGGAGAAACTCACTGAAGGGGGCAGCAGGGGATAGTGGAGCTTCCTCTGTAGTTTGAATTTGCTCATTTCTGCATCTCCTAAATGTCCCACCCTGGTGTATTTCATCACTTGTATCTGCCTTCAAAGCAAAGGGAAATTGGCTCTGTTCTTCATCTTAAAGGAATTACACCCTTTTGCCAGATGACCTGCCAGCCAAAGAATTTCATAGAGAAAAGGGATATCGGTGACATTCCCCAAACAGGAAAGTTGTAGGTTGTGAAGAACGAATGATGTTTTAAAATAATTCTTTCCTGGTTACACCAGCAGTAGTAAGTTTGTGTAGAAAGTTACAGTTTACAGGGATGCCTGCCTGGCTTTGTTGGTGGAGCTACAACTCTTGATCTCAGGGTCATGAGTTCAAGCCCCATGTTGGGTGTAGAGATTACTTAAAGATAAAATCTTTTGTTAAAATGTTACATTTTGGGGCACCTGGGTGGCTCAGTCAGTTAAGCCTCTGACTTCAGCTCAGGTCATGATCTCCCAGTTCATGAATTCGAGTCCTGTGCTGACAGCTCAGAGCCTGGACCCTGCTTCGGATTCTGTGTCTCCCTCTCTCTCTGCCCCTCCCTTGCTCACGCTGTCTCTCTCATTCTCTCAAAAATAAATAAACATTAAA